CAGAAATAGACATTTTTGTCAGGTAATCACACAAAGTTTGTTACTGTGAACCTGAATTTTGGAACACTATATAAACAATTTCTGAGAGCTCTCATGTCTTTGATAACCTGGCTATCCTGTTTAATCTCCCTGAGAGTAAAATATATTCCAAGGTCTAAAGACCACCTTGAAGTGACAGAGCAGCACAGTGCCTTCAGCCAGGAGCATTAGAAACCAGCAAGGCCAGCTTTTGTCCACCAGGAGGCAGTGTGCCATTAGCTAAGGCTGCCTCTGGAGACCAGCTCTTACCTATCAGGAGCCAGTAATTCCTCAAGTAGTTGAGCTTGTTCTTCCCTTTGAGTCCGGGGTCAAACTTGAGGTCTGTGCTGGGTGTGATCACACATTCCCCTTTGTCCCCAATGGTGACACCATCAGTCTGGGGGCCTTCCAGCAAAGGAAGAGTGCTGCCACGAGGCTGTGGAGACACGGCATGGTGAGTCCAGGAGCCCTTGCAGGAGAGCAGGTTCCCCAGGTCCCACAGAATACCTCCCCAACCATTATCCTGAGCCTTGATAGATCTGCCATGCCTCCAGATGAGCCGTGTCTAGTGTGGGGCTCTAGTGTAGGACACTCAGAGCAAGACACAGGGGCCTTAGGACCAGGCAAGGGAAGTTGCTTTCTCAGAACAGGACTGCTCCACTGACACCCTTTCAGTTCTTAACCTGGGTTCTGAGGACCAGTCAGTGTGTTACAGGCTTCAAGAAACAATGATGAGGAGATCTAAGTGAAGGAGAATGAGTGGCTGTCTACTAATCACAATGGATGCAACTCATAGAAACAATTCCATCTAGGTGCCCAGGTGGCTCCAGCACTGTCCTGCTCACACAAGCAGTAACCAGCTCGCTGGGAAGACAAGGTACAACCAAAGAGCCCAGATACTGGAAGGGTCAGGGTGAGATGCTGGGATCATAATGCCTTAGACATTCAAAGAAGACTGCTCACAGCAGGCTGGTGAGGTCCACAGAGGCTTGGGGAGGTCACAAAGAATGTAAGGGATTTGAATTAGGGAAAAGGAAGAAGGAAGGGCATTTGAAGTGTGATGTCAGTCCCAATAAATGCTCAGATGAAAGATGAACAGGGAACTCCGGGCAACGAAGAGAAGCTACACTAACAGGGTGCTGCAAGTACTTGGTGATCCTGGCTTGAAGAGAGCCTGGACACCACCTGGGAGCTTAGATTTGAACACAAGAGCAACATGGAATAACCATGCTTCCAGCTTTAGGAGGCTGCTTCTGTTGCATATCTTGCTTTCAAAATAGAATATGGAATGTGAAGAAGCTGCTCTTGAAACTTTCAGCTCTGTGTCTCATGTTCATAACCAGCAGGATGTCCTATATAATTCAAAGTCGTTCTTTGTGGAAAAGGAACAGAAGGCTGCATCTGCGAGCCCCGCAGCAGACTCACCACAACAGCGACCCCCTCATGCACCATGGAGGGAGAGGCATAGAGGCTGGTGGAGTACTTCCCAACATACAG